TTCATTTGGTAGGCTGGTTTGTTGGGTAGGGCAGCACCTGGAATGCGAACAATCTTGTGTTGAATGTCTCTTTTAGGTGGGAGACTGTGGGGCACATATTCGGGAAAGACATGTGCATATTGTTCATCAATGGATTGGGCTAATGAATGGATCTGTTTGGGAGGGGGTGAGGGTTCGGCTTCTTCGAGATCAAGTAGTATAAGGTCCTTAAATCCATCAAACTCTTGTTGTTCAGATTGGAGTATGGTGGAGATAAGAGCGGGAGGGTTTCCTTGGACATTTTGGGCTGTGGAGGAGGAGGAAGGAGGTAGGGGAGTGAGGGTGATCTTCTTCTTATTCATGAAGAATGAATAAGTGTTTAAATAGCCATCATGCTGCACTTTATGATCAAACAACCATGGTCATCCTAAAAGGACATGGCAAGCATCCATGGGAATGATATCACACCATATAATACTCAAGGTGATCAAACTTTGAGTATCAACGCGTAAACCTTTGCCTCGATTCAACCACTGAATCATGTAAGGTTTAGGATGTGGTGATAAGCTAAGTTGCAATTTGTCCACCATTGTCTGTGAAGCAGCATTAAAACAACTCCCTTTATCAATGATAAGGGAGCACACCTTCTTTTGAATGGTACATCGAGTGTGAAAGATGTTCTCTCGTTGTAGTTGATCTTCGAGACAAGGAATTACACTTAAGGTTCTTCGGATGACCAAAAGTTCATCATCATCAGGGACAACACATTCTTCTTCTTTGTTTATCTTTCTTTAACCCAAGAGGGATCAACGTCTTCATCATCATATTCAACAAGGGCCATCACCTTCCTCTTTGGGCATTCATTGGCAAAATGACCAGTACCTTGACAACGATAACAAACGGGGGCTCTTTTGTTGTTTGTGGGGGGCAGAGGTGAGCATAGACCGAACCGATCCCGATATTTCCCAAAAAAATTAAGAATACCGAACCAAAAAATACCGAACTGTACCAAACCGAATGGTCGGTCCGATATTTGGGAATGGTACGAGGTTATTTCCCATACCAAAATTCCCGAACCAAACATATATACTACGGAGTAATATATTATAAAAATAATAATCTTTTTACATTTCTTCATTAAATAAAAAATTTATATAGACAATTTAGTTTAATTTCATGATGTTTAAGTTTCACTTTAATGAGAGTTTTTTATTGTTCGTAAATGAGTATAAGAATATTAACAAATATTTGAAATAATACTTTGTTATCACTCGTTCTCTTTAGTTTGTGAAATATAAGCTAACTTTCATAAGCATTTCTTGCATTTTATTTTTTCATTTTTAAATATTTTATCTTTCTTTGGTTAAATGTACTTTCAATTTTTCAAAAATAAAAGGTTTTGTTACATTTTATAATGTAAATTAGGTACGCATATATTCATCTCGATTCGTACCGAAACCGATACCGAACCATCCCAAACCATACCGAACTGATGCTTTGGGATTGGATCGATACAACGTAAAATACCATACCGAACCGAAATATTTGGTATGGTATCGGTACGAGCTAAATACCGTACCATACCGTACCACGCTCTCCCCTAGTGGGGGGAGACTTTAGGTGGAAAAGGAGAGAAGGTGGTTTATAGGAGGGTATGATTTTGCTGTTTTGAGGAGAGCCGTGGTGCTTTTAGAAGGGGTGTAGGTGGGTTTTGAGTATGAAGGTGTAGTTCAGGAGAAAATAGATTTGGATTTCTTAAGTTGGGACTCAACTTTGAGGGCAATGGTGAGTTCTTCAAGGGTGTTGAAACTTTGTAATTCAACCGTATTGGCTATTTGAGTGTTTAAACCAATAGGTATCTTACAAAGGTTTGCTCATCATTCTCTTGCAAGTCAGATCTAAGCAAAAGTTCTTCGAACTCCCTGTTGTAGTCTTCAACATATTTAGAACCTTGCTTAAGCATTTGAAGCCTAGCGAAATTCTCACACACATTCAATAGGTAAGAACTTCTTTTTCAAGTGAACTCTCATCTTTTGCCATGACTCCACCGGAACCTTCTCACTTCTAATTCTCTTGGTAGTGACATTAGTCCACCAAGTAGAAGCATACATACTGAACTTCAATTTACCTTTTTTTCTTTGGACACGTCTTTGAAATCAAAAACACGTTAAACTGTCTCTAGCCATTCCAGGAGCTCATCCAGGTCATTCTTTCCTTCAAAGATGGGGATATCAACTTTGAAATCAGAGGTAGACCTTTCTTGAGTTTTGGCCCTTATAGTGCGCACTAGAGCTAGCTTTTTTTCATCATCACTTGCTTGAAACATGGTTAGCTTTTGTTTTGTAAGCTTAGCCACTTCTTTCGCCAAGTACTCCACTTGGGCTTTCCAGGCTGCATTGGATGCAATAAGCTCTTCTTGAGAAATATTTTGGGATGGGTTTGACATGGTTTAAAGTGAAAGTAGTAAGGGTGAGGATAAGGAGTAGGCTGGCCGAATTTTACCAAGGGTTTGGGTTGAGAAAAGTTTGGCCAAAATGAGCCAAAGGAAAAAGAAAAGAAGAGGGAAGTGTATTTTGGTCCTTTAGAGATGTTAACAACAGGCTCTGATACCGAATGTTATACCCAAGCTTATGGTAGCTATGGATATAAATATGGCAGAATGGAGATAGGTTGTTATGGGATGGAAATGCTGCTGTTTTGGTTAGGAATGGAGAAGTGAATAATGATGGTTATGTGGGTATGGTTATGGCCGAACTAAGTTAAGTGAAAGAGGGAAGAAATATATGGCTTTAGAAGAGAAATGGAGTAACTTTAAAGAGGAGGGGCTGGACGAATGGAAGAAAAGAGGATTTCTTTTGGTTTTTGTTTTGATGGGATAAAACCAAATAAGTGTTATGAGATAAACACACTCTTATCTTTACTCAGACTGTTATCTTCATTTACACATTAATAATCACTACTAATGTATAAAATTAGACTCCTAACACACACTGATAAGTAGCCAACTTTAGAGATATTTCGTTAGGAAATTTTGCTGAATTAGCTTCACACCAATTCAAATGACACTCAAAGAGTATGATTTTGATTAAAACATATGATATGATTACAAGGCCATGTTGGCCGAAATATAAAGGGGAAAATACAACTAGGAAGCATCTTTCATCTTTCCTACAAATCAAATGATCAGTATCCCTGTATTATAATCTAAAATGAGTTAAACTCAATGACAAGGATAAGAGACTTTAATGGATATTCTTTGGTGTTATTTGGGGTGGATATTTCGGCCATGTGAGGTAAAAACAAGGTGGAAAACATTGTGTAGCTACACCTTGACTTTGATGAACAACAACAACCCAGTTGAATCCCACTACATTAGGGTCTGGGGGGGTGTGTGTACGCAGACCTTGCCCCTACTCGGAAGTAGGGGCAAATCAGCACTATTCAATGAAGGATTTTGTTTGTGTGATTTTTGGCCTATTCATGGGGCATGATATGGTCTTCATTTGATGTGGGAAAAGGCTTATTTTTGGTTGAACAATGTGGTAGAATTTTGGCCATATTGAAGGAGGGTGAAGTGAAATCATTTGTGTCTCAAAATGACAAAACATTCACTATTCAATCAAAGACTCTTTTTCTGGTTTTATCTTTTTATGTTGAAGGAGGTTTGTCTTGATTCATGGTTGAAATAGGCCTGATTTTTGGAGAAATGAGAAAGGGATTTTCGTCCCTTATTGTAGGAAAGGAAGGGAAAGACATTATTTGGCTAACAAAGACTTTAAAAGATAAAAACAAGACACTAAGATTTTATTTGTCTTCTTTGGTCTCATTTTCGGCCATGGCTATTCAATGGAGAAGACTTTATTTTGAATAACATGATAAGATGACATACTTTTGGATGTTTGGGAATGGTTTGGACTTAAGGGAAATTCGGCCTAGGTGGGGTTTTAGGTTAAGAGGGTTATGGTTTGGACTTTTGGAAGAGGAAGGGAAATGAATTCAACCCAAAAAGGATGATAACACTTAGACATTAACCCATTGATTTGTTTTGTAGCTTGTGGTTTGAGCCCAAGCTTGTTTGTATTATTCCGGGGTATATCGTTAACCCTTGATCTCCCAAGTCTCATATCTAAACCTCAAACTAAAGGAATTGTATTATGGTTCTTGATTTCATGTTGAAAGAGAACAAAAGAGTGTGTATATAGTCTTGTATTTACGAAAATATACAAGGTCTGGTCATATGGGAACTGTTGGGCAAAAGGTTTCCTTATCGTGACTGGGATGCATCAAGTGACCAAGGATCAGCACTGATCCCATTCTTATAAGTTATGTTTCTTTGCGTAAACTATCCCGCTCTTATTTTAAATTGCTGTATATGAGCTAACTATGAATGTAGTGTCCCATGATGAATGTTATTTGCAGTTGATATCATGTTAGTGGGCAAAAGCATGGAAGGATTACACACTAATTTGGAAATATGGAGACATGATATAAGCTAAGTCAAACAGAGTATCTGGACTGCAAATGTAGTACAATTAAAGTTAAAAAACAAAGATATTCCCAAGCAATTGTGTTGGGATCAATACTTGGGTTGCTGCTCTTTGTTTCAGTAGATGAAAATGAAGCCTTTAATTTTTACTTTTTGTTTTTAAGTTTTAGCTTCCAGTAAATAGTGGACAAGTCAAAATGGCACATTAGACTACCGTTTCTTCTCAGTTTCTATGAAGTTTTGTCTAGGAAATGTTCAATGCATCATAGGGTTAACGGAGACATCATGTCTATTCTATTTTACAGGGTAAGGTCGCGTACATATGATGTCCTACACCCCAATAGAGTTGGGAGTATTGTATTATACTGTTATTGTTGTTAATTTTATTGTTTGTTATATAAGTACAAGATTTTTTTCTTGTAGCAGCCCTGTTGTGTAACTAAATGATTTATCAAAACCGTTTGGAACCAATGTCAATCTATTGAGATGTTTTCATTTGTCAAGTATGTTAATATACTACATCTTGATGTGATAGGTGGATCGTATGCAATGAATTTCAGCACTCCTGAAAGCAATTTCCATGCACCTTATGGTGAGGGATATGGAGGCCATCTGGTATGGAAATACAATTATTCACATAAAGCTAGATGATATTTTAATCTGGCATCATTTGATAAATTCAGAGTACTGATATAGTGTTGGTGGGTTGTGCCGGATGTTGACATCTACCCATTTTATTCAGGGCGCTTCCAACAAGGGTCATTTGTATGGTGCTGACTCTGCTTCATGGGCAGGAACAGAAAAACCTAGAACATCTCGCCGTTGAAATGTTCACATCCTTTAATTTGCTGTCATGTATACAGGAACAAGAACTGTCTCATGTCTTCAATTTGTGTGCGTAGAGAAATTTTATGTTAACTTATGTAGGAGCATTGATAGGGTATAATTCTCTCATTTGCCTAAAACCATAGTTTTAGCAGCATACTCTTATTTTAAACATTTCCATTCTCACCTTCATTTCAGTACATTTTATGGTTAAATTAACTCTATTATATTGTTGAGCTGTGTGTGATGGCCTAATGGGTAAAAGGCAATCCTGCTGCATCTATTGTTCTTTATTTTGCCTTTGAAAATCTTCCTGATTATTCCTAGCAGTTCGCAGCATTTGTTAAGGATCTGCCACAAAATTTTTGGGCATATGAGGTCCTATCTATGATAGAACAGCCTGTTAAACATAAGCGTTATAGGACATGAATTAAGTGCCTTTTATATGCAAATGGTTTAGGAAAGTTTGCAATGTTCATTTGTTGAAACTGGGGACCATTTCGATTTTAGTGCTTGACCTGTCAATATCTTTTGTATACATACATCTAGGTACATTTTTTGCTTGACTCACTGCTCTTAGGGCCAAATATTACTTTGAATGTTAACAGGGACCTTCTAAACTAAGAATTTTTTACCTATAAGTTTCCCCCCCCCACAAATTTCACCACTTCTTGCTAATATCTCATCATCAGATGAAGTCATCACTCATCAAAGTACCTATACCATATCAACAAACATTTCAAGAGAATCCTTTCGGACTAGCATTATGTTTATTGGAATCCAACAAATTGTAGACATTGAGAAGATCTTCTTTAGTTCAAAGATGAACTTTTATACTTGGGGTTCAAACTTAAGGGTACCCATTGGACTATGCTCTAGCTTATCTTATATGTCACAGATCTCTTCTGAATGTGGGATGAAGTGAATAATTTGTTAAGAGGGAGATTTGATTTGCATTTTCTACAAAATGATTGGTCCCTTTTTGTGGGTAATTCTCCCTCTTTTAGTTTCATATGTGATGATTCCAAAGTTGTGATGGTATGTCTGTAAAGCTGCATTAGTGTTATGGCAACAAACTTTTGAAAGAGCTGAAAGTTGATTGTGGTCTTTCCTCACTAAGTCCACGAGAAGTTAAGGGTCACAGCTTGGGATGTTCTTTCCATGCAATTTGTACATTCAGAAATGGATTTGCATTTTCCTTGTGCAACATGTATAATTGACGACTCAAAATGGGCATGTAAAACCAGGAGATGACAAGATCAGACATTAAGGTTTTTTTGTGCACTTACCTAACAAGCTTTTGGTTTTGTTGGGTATCAAGATCCTCATATAGTTCATGTGCGATGATTCCAAAGGTGTTAGGATAGTCTGAAATGTGCCATAGTGTTATGCCATTGAACTTTTGAAAGAAATAAAGGCTGACGCCTGACTGCTGATTATTCTCTCTGCTCACTAGTGCACCTGAAGTTAAGGATCACAACTTGTTGCTCCTGCAATGTCATACACTCAGAATTGGATATGCGTTGGCCTTGTGCAAGATGAATATTTGATGACTGGGGATCAGAATTGAAATGTAAAAAGCAGGACTTGACAAGATGTGACAATAAGATTTTTACATTTGCTAAACAAGCTTTTGATTCCTTTTTTGTTGGGTATAAAGATCCTCATATATTTCATGTGGGGGGTCCTTTCATGTGCTGTGTTTCCAAATTTGTTGTAGCTTGTAAATATCCTTAAGTGTGTTGCCAAGGAACTTTTGAAAGAGCTGGATTGTGAATGGTGAATGGTGTCTCTCATCACTACATTTGCCTGAAGTTAAGGGTCACATCTTGAGATGTTCTTTCTATGTAATTCGTACATTCGGAGTTGGATTTGCATCTGCCTTTTGCATTAATTGTTTGGATGAGAAAGTTGTTTAGTTTACTAATTCACACATGGTTGTGTATCATCCTTTGAATCAAGGTATCTCTTGACAGTGTTCATTTGTAATGAGTTACTTCTTATGCATTCAAATGGCCCGGAACATTTGCAGGGATTACAATGCATGTAGTTATCCAATGGGCTGCTACCAACAAATGCCATAGGCAGGTATCCTGTATCTGTTATGCAGGCTTACTAGTTCTCTAACCTTTTATTAGATATTATACATGTTATTAATCTGTCTTTGCCTTTTCTGCATGAATGCTATCTTAAGTATACTTTCTTTAACTAGTCTGTTTAGGAATGTGCTTACATGGGTTGTGATCTATTTTCTGCTTAAGTTTTGATTCCTTCTCAATCCTGTACCATCTTCTATTGATACTATTTTGTTGCCTTGACTTGTAATTACTGCGTAAGGGCCAGTACACGTTGAAGCTTGCTGAAAGTGAATGTTGCCAAAAATTTTCAGATTGCTCTCGAAACCGATTTACATGAGAGAGAGAGGGAGAGGGAGAGAAAGAGCAAGGGAGGGAGGCAGAGGGAAAGATGAGTTTTGTGTACTTGGGGGGTGAAGGCATGAAATATTGAGATCTATTAAGGAACCCCAAAGCAAAGGCAGCTATTTGGGTCCTTAAATAGAGATGAGGTACGGAAGCATGGGATCACCCAAACACAACTACATATCCTGGTAGCCCATAGTGCAAACAATGAGTGCCTGTTCTTGGTCTGTATAGTATCAGATCAGCTAACACATGAAGTGCTCTATCTTGGGAGTGCATTCACAAGACCTAAACTCAATATTCTTTGATCATCAAGAGATATGGTTGCAAAAAGAATTTTTCTGGTAGTGTGGGGTTGGTGAATGTGGTAGAGATAGGTGTTCCCTAATTATCTACCATGGGATGGATATCCTAGTTTAAGATTACATTGTTTACCGAGGCGAGGGTATCATATGTTAAAATTCCAATGGTTTGGAATTTGGAATATTTCTTCTTATAACTTGAAACAAACTTTGGTTGTAAAGCCTTTATATTCATACAATCCTACCTGAATAGGCTGAATTATACTTGATTCACCCATATCAAGTGAAGAAGGAAGTGCATCATGGTTATATAGACCACCTTAGAGATATAGATGAAGTTGTTGACCTAGACAGAGCAAAATTATGGAGAAAGATGTACCATCTCAAAGGCTTATGATAGGCTTCATTCCTATTATGGATATCCAACTGAGTTATGATTATTGCTTTGTGTTGTTGAGTATATCGTAACTCAGTAAGGAGTATGAATACATCATAGCTAACGAAGGCCTTTTTCTCATCAGGGTTGGGTTGCATGAAGGATTGATGCTGAGCTCATTTCTATTTGCATCCATTACAGATGAGTTAACTAGGAATATTCAAAATGGGATGCCATTGTGTCCTTATTCGTGGATGATATCATGTTTGTAGATAAAGTAAGAAATGATTAAATGCCAAGTCTGAAATATGGTGACGATGGAATCACAAAATCATGAAGATTTAAGATATGATAAAGTAATGTGGACTATATGTAGTGCAAATTTAGTACTTCAGATAGAAAGAAAACTGATGTGAAATTGGATAGGGAAGTACTCCCTTTGCACCTAAAAATCTTTGCACCTAAAAAGGTTTCACAATTGAACCGACATCGTTATCAAGCAAGATGGAATATATATGGTATATGATCTACGCAGAGGCGGAATCTTAGTTTGGGACATGTGGAAAATAAAATATGGAACCTTTTTGAGGAACATAGGGAGTATTATAAAGTGATTGTTTCAAGTACAACAACAACAACCCAGTTAAATCCCACTACCGTAGGGTCTGGGGAGGGTGTGTGTACGCAGACCTTGCCCTTACTCGGAAGTAGGGAGGCTGTTTCCAAGAGACCCCCGGCTCAACCTGCACAAAAATATGCACAAAAATATGGAAGGGAACACAGTATAACACGGGTAAAGAGCCAAGTACAAGCAACAAATACAAGCAATAGCAAAAGATTCCAAACAAATACAACATACTACAAACAACTTCTACAGCACCGAGCTCCTATCTAGCTACTCTAATCCTAGTTCTCCAAAGGTTCCTATCTATGGCCATATCCTCAGCGGTGAGGATTGTTTCAAGTATGTAATATCTATTTGATATGAAATGGAGATATTGACAAAAATATGACATGTATGAATAGTGCATGTTGGTTGAAATGGAGAGAGTGTCCAGAATACCCCATGACATGGTCTAAGGAAGGTTTTTGTATAGATCTGACTGTTGGGCAATAACTAAAGGTTTAATAAAGAGGTGAGTAGTGAAGATACGATGAATGTCTGGTAAGATTAGAAAAGACAGTATGTGCAAAGAATGATGAGATCCACTGTAGAGTGGTGTAGCCACTGTTGAAGTTAAATCAATAGAAAACTGGTTGTGTTAGTTTATGCACAGTAATTATCAAGAAGTGCCTGGCGCAAAGAGCAGAGTCTCGCCGTGTTTGAGACTTAAAAAGAACCTAGGATCCACATAAAAGGAACTGATTTGAAGGGATAACAAGGCACAATAGAGCGTTGGGGCTGAATAAGCATATGGTGCATGACATAATACAATTGAAAAAGAGGATCTCAATGGATCACTTTGGAAGATTTTTCTATCAGTTCATGTAGCCGGTCCAATTGATTCAACTATTTAAGATTAAGGCTTGGTTATTACTCCATATTTGTTAATATGTTATTATTAATGAATGCATGTTCCTTTGAGAACAGTGTTGCTTATGGAGGACTGCAAGAGAAATCCTATTCTTCATTCATAAGTTATTTTGATCGTGTAGTTAGCCATATACATTTTTGCTTTGCGTTCAGTTTTCTGATAGCACATCTTGGGAATAGGCTCATTGTTTGGCTGCTTGCTTTGGAGGAGGTATGATATTTATTGGTGTGGATATGGGCATATGGCCATTTCTTTATGATGATGAATTGATGAAATTGATGAAATATCAATGTCCCTGGTGACTGCTTTCTTTAACAATAGGGACGTAGACCTGAGAAGCATATTAATATTTGTGCTCACTGACCTATGATATGAATTTGGTGTGCTGCTTGATCGCAAGACATGCAAAGTTAGTTATTACCTTATCGGGTCTCTTGCGTGGAGGGAACTCAAGCTTCTACTTTCTCTAAAGATCTGCTATACATGCTTGATTTCTTTAACTGAACGGCAGAGTACCTACTTATACGTATGGCATTGGAAATAGTGATCCAATGTGCCCAACTCTGGCCTGACTAGCTTAACTTGATGGTACCAGTGATG